CATGATGATGACATGATGACATGATGACATTAATTTATTCATTTCATTCATATATCGATATATTGAATGTTTTGGGAATTTAAACATAGTTCTGTTTTGGGATGCATTCACAAGCAGCCGATAACATTGCCAAGAATTCAATGTTTTTAAAAGAAGATTCTTGTTACCAAATTATCGGTTCATTATAGAATAGAGGGTTATAAATTTATAGATTCATTGATGAATCATATTACACTACTGTTTCCAAAACGAGAAATTATATGAGTGAATCCACGGATATTGAGGTTACCAAAATTTTTTACGTTAACAAAGAAAAAAACCTATAATTAAATTAGACATTTAACATTTACAAAGAAATGTTTAAAAATAAGTTAACGAATACAAATAAATTCCTCGGTAAAGGACGATTGTAAACCCGTCAAGAGATTAAACTTGACCATCAAAAAAATTAATTAACAAATGTAGGACTGAATAAACATGCTTTTACTTGTGACACATTTATTAATCAATATTGAATGTGATATTAAATGTAAGAGAAGATAATTTCAATTTCTCTATAGTAATACCAATTTAAGCGTACACCAATGCCTATTTATTATTACATTATCTGTTTGCAAAACTATTGATCATTTACATTCGGCAGACTTTTGTCATCGGACATCGGTGGTTTATATTTTCTACTGATGTTTTGTCGTACATTTCTTTTTTCAAATGCAATATATACATTTTTTTGTCATAATAAAATTCGCGTTCTTGTATGTACGTCCATGTGAGTTGCTTATCGGAAGATGCAAAGTGATATTTGAATATTTGAATATTTATTTGAATATTTGAATTATATTTGAATATTTGAATTATATTTTTTGAATATTTGAATTATATTTGAATATTTGAATTTATATTTGAATATATATTTGAATATTTGAATATATATTTTATTTTAGTGAGTACACGTATTTTTAATGAATATATTTTAGTGAACATGTAAATTTCAATCTATTACATTTTTCGTTAAAGAGAAAAAAAAAAAAAAAAAAAAAAAAAAAAAAACCAAGAAATCAAAGTTTATTGATAGACAGTTTTATTTACATTCATCGAATATCTCTGTTAATCAATGTTAACCATAAGGAGATTTAAAGGTGTCCGTTCACCACTAAACCTTGTTTCTATGATTTTACTGAATTTTACTAAATTCCATGTACCATGTGGCCGAAGATCATAAAACTAAACTTTTATTATTAAAACTAACTTTTCTTATTTAATTAAATTTTTCATCTTGAAAATTTTATTGAAGTAGTTTAAATGAATTAATATTATTAATATAGTAATATTAATAATGAATGAATTATGAATTTATTCCAATATCTATATTATGATAACACTATAATCCTATAATACTAACAATTCTAATCTATACGTACGTACGTACTAATACCACTAATTCATATACATATACATATACATATACATATACATCAATAATCTTAACAATTTATATATACCGTATTAACGATAATAGGTCTGTACTTTTAAACTCAGTCTTATGTTGTGATAGTGTTGTGATGATCATAACAAATCAACAAAATTACAGACTCCATGCTAGCTTTGTAGCTGCCAGTCAAAAACAAGGTGACATCATTATTTTACAACTCGGCTTTCATAATCAAGCAGATTGAACATTTAAAATCTTTGAAAAAGCTTATGCAAACCTTGAGTAAAAAATAATGTAAAAAATAATAATGTAAATTAGAAGAAAAGAAAAAATAAAGGCTAAATTTCATAGTGACTATCCGATATTACTAAAATCAGTATACGTACGAATATCATATCAATATTGATAACAGTACATACGTACATACGTATAAGTATTTTTTTATTATTGGTATAAATATTTACTTTTTATTATTCATTATTATTATTTTTTCTTGAATTATTGGCCAAGGCAAATTTAATGTATTACTAGCATTTATTCTTTTATATGACTATTTGGAGGTGCCCAGAAATAACTATTATCATAAAATATTATAAATTGATTCGTTATGTTAGTGAAATGACAAACATGTAATAAAACATTTCTAATGGATAAAAACATTTCTAATGAATAAAATCGTTTCTATATTTGATTCTGAAATCAAGGAAAAAATCCTGTTTTGAGTAATCCGTCGGATTCTCCGAGGAATTCCAAATCCAATAGTTTGAGTTTATGTATGCGTGTGTATTTTTACATATACCGATACAGTATACTAATATTCCGGCATTAAAAATTTGTGACAAAATGATTAAAATGATAAATGTGTTGCATACCATATTTATGTTTAGAGTTATTTTGGAAATTCCATCAAAAAATTTATAAGTTTTAAACCTTTACATGAATGCTATCGAACATTCACATGCCCATTTAAACGAACAACAACAAAAAAAAATTACATAGGTGCTACGCAATCAATTTATATTTATATCTGAATCAGGGTTATCGTTTCATATCACTTGAATCACACAAAATGACAAAGACTATATATTATCTAATGATTTCTTCTTTTATACAATTTTATAAAATAAAGTGCTTTTTAAAGAATATAATTCATAAAGATGGTCACTCTTGCTTTACTTTAATCGGTATGGTTCAAAGTAAATCCTTGGAAGGCAAGTAAGGGTCAATGCGTCATGTCAAGAAAATAAAGGCTAAATGTTTTAATGAAACCGATGTTGTAAGTTTATCAATATGATAAATATATGCATTGACCGTGCGAATGTTGTCATTGGTACTTATTTGATCTTTCCTCTCTTATTTTCATCATGACGTCTCTCGAATTCGTAGAACAATCGTAATGTTTTGGCGTACGTAAAGCCTGGAGGGAGAATGAAACAAACAGAGAAACTGATAACAAAAAGAAAATTAAATATTGTATCAATATTATATCAATATTGTAATATGAATTCTCCTTCCAAAAATATTCAACTTATCAGAATAAGTGCGGTCATTATGACGAAAAGATGCTAGTGCACCTGCGTTATATCGCATCTGACTCAGGTCAATCTTTTTATCACTATCGATACTAGTTAATAAATTTTTTACTTTATCAAGTAATTATAAATTATTTATGTGACAAATATGGTGATAAAATTCGGAATGTGATACCGGTGATACCAACAGTATCACATCTATTCTTTCCCAATAACTCCAGCAACTGAAACATTTCAATCTTCCCAAATTTCTTTTGCACTTATGAGCCGTGATTGGCAATTGACTGTATGCAAGAATGACGAGGGACAACTTATTATATCATCATGACTTACCCAGTTGCTAATTAACATCTTAAAATAGTTCATAGTTGATCCTTCTTCAGTCTTGTAATTTATATCTTTTACTCAACACGATATCAATGTGTCTATGCTGTATATATTTAACTAACAAGGGACCCGGACATTAATAACTGATACGTATAATATTGCTCAACTTTAAATGGGCATAGTTGTACATACGATTTATACAAATATCCCAAAATTTTATTTTATGTACTTTTTATACATCTATACATTTAATAATAATCATAATAATAATAATAATAATAAAGATGACGAGTGAAGTGTTTTTAAAGTTTCAATTGCTTTTTTACTGTCCCCGAATATTTGAAATATTTGATAAAGTTACATAATAATAATATTCAAGAATTCCGACTTTATTTAAAAAAAAAATTTTATGAAAATTTATGAAAAAAAAAATGCTTGCTTTCCTGCCCTCTCTCTTTCGTTTCTTTGGACTTTCAACCTAGTCATAATAGTCATAAACTGCTTAAAACCAATTTTTCTTGTTCGCTAAAAGAGCAAAAAAAAAAAAGCATCCACAAAGCTTTTCTTTTTTTTCTCTTACTACGAGACTTTTACGAGTCCTTTATTTCATAATTCTTTTTCCAGACTCTTACTATAAAATTCTCTACCATAATTTGATATAATATAAACAATGATAAAGCAATTAGTGTATTCAAGTAATCAAAAAGATCATCAAATTAAATATTTTTCTTTGCTCCCGTGTGCTTATTCCTCTAAATAAAAAAACGGATTATTTTTATATTCAATTATCACAAGGTTATCGATCGGTTTAGTCTAAAATTATACGTATATTTATTATATTATTTATTATATTATATATATATACACACATATATATATAATAATTAATATAAATTACATTATTGTAATACGTATATATTTATATTAGTTATTTTAATTTATTTATGATATATTTATTCGCAAAATAATATATATAATCCTTACTTTTTCGATTAAAAAAAAATAAATTCTTTTCTTTTACTTTTAATAAATTAAAAAAAATATATATATAAACAAAAAAAAACCCTTTAAAATTTTTTTAAAAAAAAAACCGTTAGCTTTTTTTTTTTTAATGATAAAACATTTTGTTATTAAGTTCGCATAGACATTAACCAAACAACCACAAAAAAAAAAAAAAAAAAAAAAAAAGACTAAAAGTCTCCTCCTGGTCAGAGTGACTATATAATCCACAACGAAAAAGCGTATTTTTTTTATTTTCGACTTTTTAAAAAAAAACTCACGATAATTCTCAACGATCTTGACAAAACCTTTTCGTGGTAGTTAGTTTTGGCTCCATCGCTCAACGAAGAAGCGATTTCGCCATCACCAAAAGTTTGAGAATTACAGTCAAAAAGAAAAAAAAGCAAATCGCGTTTTTTTTTTTCTCTTTTCTTTATCAGATCACGCAACTAAATACTGTGTATATTTGTTTCTTTATTTATTTTTTTTTTCTTTCATCAAACTTTTTTTTACTTTCAAAAAAAAATACGTCCCCCAAAAAAAAATTCTCTCAAAAAAGTTCTTTTTAAAAAAACTCTTTATTAACTCATCGCTAAAAATCATTTTCAATGATCGTTTTACAACCATCTCATAACGATATTCATACAAGGAGTCTTGATTTAGCTAGTGGCAACTTCTCCGCAATTCCTTCCCAACACATTCCTTCTTCCATGTATCAAACAGCCCCCCAATATCAACAACAACCCTTCGTTTACTCGAACATATACCCTTCCGCTTCTCATCATTCAAGATCACCATCTACCTCATCGTTATCTAGGCATTCACCGGCTGATACTTCGTTCACTATAGATACAAATTATTTGTATCAACCATCCGTTAGTACTGCTAACGCCATGGCTACTTCGCCTGACGTACATAAAGCTTCGCCTATTCAACAAAATCATTCTTCTCCAACTATGATGCCTTCTGGATCGACATCAACTGTTACTTTATCGCCTGACAATACCAATATTCTTCCACCTTTGTCTGAAGTATTCCCAACATCATCTGCTCATCCTGGTCAGCAGAATTCGTCTTCAGCATCATCCCCAATTCAATCTCAAGTTGTTCCACAAGCTCAATCACAACAGCAACAAACGAGTGCAAATATGCCTATGACATCCGCCGCCGCACATTCTGGTTTCTTTCAAACTATTTCACAATATTCTGACGTAAACGCAGCAGCAGCTTCATTTGCCGCTGATACTGTTACTTTTTCCGCTGCACCAATGATGTCACAAAGTCAACAACCTCAAATTGCTTCCAACATTTCTGTCGCAGATCCTCGTACATTACCTCGTATTGGTCCAAATGGTTCAGACATGCAAGCTCTTTCTACTGGTATAGACCCTACAGGTAGAAATCGTAGTAATGCATCAATGCTCGCTATCAATACAAATGGTTTAACAGTAGGAGCTACAGATACTAGTCCAATGAGTGCCGGGTCATCTACAGGATCCCCTATAGTACCAGGAGTTCCAAATACACTTAGTTATCATCATAGTGCAAATGCGGCACATCATCAAGCTTTACTTAATAGTCATTTTATGGCAGCGGCACAATCTATGAATAATGGTAGTATGATAGCACCTACAACACAACGTTCACCTAATAGTCGCCGAGGAACACGATCAGATGATGGTAGTGATGCGATTTCTCAAGCCACTAATGGAGAACGTCCTCAAAAAGTATACTCATTTGTTGCACTACCGGGCATTAACACTAAAAAAAGACCTCGCCGACGATATGATGAAATCGAACGTCATTATGCTTGTAATTATTCAGGATGTACAAAAAGTTATGGAACTCTTAATCATTTGAACGCACATGTACAAATGCAAAAACATGGTCCAAAACGACACCCATCCGGTAAGTTTTTTTTTTCTTATTACTTGTTACCTAAGTTACCCGAGTTATCTTAGTTACCTTAGTTACTCGAGTTACTTGAGTTACTTGAGTTACTTGAGTTACTTTAGTTACTTGAGTATAATAAAATTAGTCTGTCCTTTTTTTTATATCCGATTATGAATATGCTTTGTAATATGATACTAAAATTTATATATATATTTTTATTCAATATTTAATAGAATTCAAAGAACTTCGGAAACAATGGCGACGCCAAAAACGTGAGGAAGAAGAACGTAAAGCCGCTGAAGCAGCCAATGCCAAAAACGTCATGGGTTTAAATATAAATTCTCTTTCCTCGATATGAAAAAAAAATCTTTAAAATGGAACAATTTATTATTCGCCATCCTTTTTTTTTGCCTTTTTTTTTACTTACGCTTATTGAATTTCGAATCACAAGCCTTTATAAGCAATAAGATGGTTAGAAATTGTTATATATAGTACATAGTTATGATGGACAATTGTTATTTTCAAAA